GACTAGACCCAACCCTCTCTTAGCATCCTCAGATGGGTAAAAGACCATTTTACCCCTCTCTTGACTCAAAGACCCCATTGTTGACCAATCCCTAAAAGTCAACAAAGTCAACGGTCAAACTTTGACCTGGCTCGTCGAGTGCACTTAGGCGACTCAGCGAGTCTACACATGATCTCTACTCCTCTGATTCTCTTTTGACTCACCGAGTCACTCACTTAACTCGGCAGGTCACTCTCTACATTCACAGTCTCGGGACAACTCGACTCGACTCATCGAGTCTGTTCATGGACTCGGCGAGTCCAATCCATGCACACTTCCAATGGCTTCCTGAGGTCAGATCTGATGCTCTAATCAATAAATCTATCCTTTCTAGTCCCAATAATCACGTAAAGTTTGAAGCTTGATGCCCATGCAAAGGCTCCACGGTTCTATTTGAAGAAATGACCTCTAATATGGCATCCTAAGTTCATATTCACCATCAATCCACATAAAGCTTAAAGGAGTAAGGTCTCTGGACCTCTATGGATCCAGATCTAAGACCATAATACGAAAAGGAACCATTTACTCAATCAAAACCATCTACCAAAGGGTCTAGAAAACCCTAACTCTACAAACAATCACCAAAACAGAAGATGGATCGAGATTATACCTCAAATAAGCACTCCTGAGCTCAAAATTCCTCCAAATTGCACCTCCTTCAGCCTCCTTTGATCTTGATCACCTTCATCTTGCTATACTGATGGTAGAAAGATCAAATATGGCCTCTCCTCCTCACAAACGATTTAGCTCACTTAGGGTTTCTCTCAAGGGACTGGTATCTAAAATGGGAGGCTATGAGTGCCCTTAAATAGGCTCCAAAACCCGGGATTTCGGGTTTCAATTGCTAGCGCAGACTCGATGATTCATATGCCCGACTCGTCGAGTCTGGTCGCGAAGATTCGCAGAAACTTCCTCACCTACTCGACGAGTCGAACTCATCGAGTCCCTCCTTTTTCCTGAATAAATAATTAAAAAAAATCATACCCAAAACTCTGGATGTTATAGAACACAATCTCATACATGGTACACAATCTCATACATAGCACATAAGACCTTCCGGTCAACTCATAATACCACTCTAGGTAACGTATAGTGAGAAGACTCACCTCGTGTAACTCGGTAACTCGGAAGTCTCGGACTCCGTGAAATAGGATCTAGCCTCCACCTAATCATACGAAAATAAACACTTGGCATCAACACATTTCCCAAGGCTAGACCATTCCCTCTCTTAGCACTCTCAGGAGGGTAAAAGACCATTTTACCCCTCTCAAGGCTCAGATACTCTAAAGTTGTCCAAAACTTAAAAGTCAACAAAAGTCAACGGTCAATCTTTTGACCAGACTCACCGAGTGCACAATTGTAACTCGGCGAGTTCAGTCATGAACTCACATCTTCAAAATCCTAAATGACTCACTAAGTCACTTTCCCAACTCAGCGAGTTACCATGTGTGTGATTTATAGGGAAAACCCATCCTACTCGCCGAGTTTGTTCTTGGACTCGACGAGTTCAAGTAATGCTCAAACTCAAATGACCTTCTGAGGTCAGATCAGTTCCTCTAACCCATAGATCTGGCCTCCTTAAGCAAAATAAACACATAAAGTTTGGATCTTGATGCCCATGCAAAGACCTAATGGCTCTACTTGAAGAAATGGCCCCAATATGCCATCCCAAGCTCTTTCCTCCCAATGACACTCATAAAGATCAAGGAGTTAAGGTCTCTGGACCACTTTAAGTCCAGATCCAAAATCTCAACACAAGAAGGGACCAATTGCACGATAATCCATACTCTAAAGGGGATAGAAACCCTAACTCTCAAAGATTAACACCAAACAGATGAAGGATTAAAATATATACCTCAGAAAGAAGTCCCTAGCCTCTGAAATCCACAGGATATCGCCCACTTTAGTTCCCTCTTGCCTTGGCCACCTTCTTCTTGCAAAAACACCCACACAAAGATCAAAAATGCCCTCTTCTTCCTCACAAAAGCGCTGGATCTCTTAGGGTTCCTCTCAGGGGTTTGGTAGCCGCAAATGATGGCTATAAGCCCCTTTAAATGGGTTCCAAACCCCGGGGATTAGGGTTTCATTAAATAGCATGGACTCGCCGAGTCCACGAATGTACTCGCCGAGTCCGCCATTAAATCAGTCCGACCATCCGCGATCCTACCCAACGAGTTTGAGCGCCTACTCGCCGAGTCTCTCTCCAAAAACTCAATATAATGCATAAAATAAGATACCTGGGAGTCCGGATGTTACACTACTCTAGTAAATTGGGATGAGCCAGTTGATTACAAGAAGGAGATGGGGAGCCCTGAGGCTGCCAAATGGAAAGAGGCAATGGAAAATAAGATTCAGTCTATGTATGGCAACCAACTTTGGAATTTGTTTGATCAAGAACCTAGTCGAAAGACAGTGGGTTGCAAATGAGTCTTCAATAAGAAGGACGACATAGATGGGAAAGTACACACATTTAAATCAAGACTGGTTGCAAAGGGATTTACTCAAACCTTTGGGGTTGACTATGATAACACCTTTTCGCCAGTGGCTAAGATCACGTCTATTAGGATAATTCTTTCCATAACTGCCATTCATGATTATGAAATATAGTAGATGGATGTCAAAATTGTTTTCCTTAATGGAATGTTGGCTAAGGATGTTTACATGAGTCAGCCATAGAGTTTTGTACATGCAAATTTTCCTAATAGAGTGTGTAAGCTTGAGATATACATTTATGGATTAAAACAAGCATCTCGCGGTTGGAATCTTTGTTTCCATGAGAAAGTGAAAGAGTTTGGTTTTTGTAACATCCGAAAATTTGAGGAACAACTTTGGGTAAAAATCACCTTTTGAGGATTGAACATGGCGTGTTAGAGGCACCAACACAGCATACCTAGATAAGAAGAGGCGCATGTTTCATTTTGGACAAAACGACATGTTACGTCTTAGAACACAATGTGTTGATTGCTGGAATGAAACCCTAATCTTCCATGTTTTTCTCCCTATTAAAAGGAATATGGAGGCTAGGGTTTGTTCACCTTTAGTCCCCATCAACCCCTCAAGCCCTGAAAGAAACCCTAATCATCCTTCCCTCTCATTTTTTAAGCTAGTATGGTGTTTTTGAGGCTAAAGTAGGAAGAAGGTGGAAGAAGGAAGCAAAGATCCAACAAGCAATCCCCCATTCTTCAGTTTGGAACTCTTTTGGACCTTTGTAAGTGTCCAAGACTTAATTTTTATCATTCTAAGTTGTTAGATCTTAGGTTTGTCCCTTCTGCTTCTAGTTCTTGAATGTTAACTTTGCCTTGACATCTTCCATCTCTTGGTTCTTGGTGGCTACATCCACCTCTGCCTCTGAATCAAACTCCCTGGCAACCACCAGCTCTTTTCCCCTTCTCCACACCTACCACCACATAAGCTGCCTGCACCAAACCTTAGAGAAATTTGGGGCTCTTGTTCACCCTGTCTACCACCCAGTTGAGCCCATCGCGAAAGATCCATGCAATATCCTTCTCTAACACCCCTATTACAATGCTCTCCCCAACCAGATCAGTCTCTAGCTCTGCCATTTGCTTGCTTAGGCCAGCATTCTCCAAACTCAGGGCTTCTAAGCAATCATTCAATTGTCTCACTCTTCGTCTAGCTTTCCCACTTGTTCTTTTAAGCTTGCCTTCTCGCGCAATGCCGCCTCTTGCTGGGCCTCCCAACTGCGTTTCTCGACTTCCATCTTTGCCACCTGGGCTTTCAGCTCTACACATTCGATGATCATCTTGTCTGAATAAGGTTGGGTGGTCTCCATATCGGAGATGCGTTCAACAGCTAAAACCAGGTAAGATGACACTTAGGCGGCGGCATAGTGAAGACCATCGACCATGTGCTCACCCACCAGGACAACCAAAGCCTCAATTGTAGTAGGCGGAAAACTGTGCCGACCCACGCAAGAGCAGTATCGTTCTCAGACATGAGGTATTGGGGAGTTAGCCTCCAAGATGGCTTGTAGGCACCTGAATGAGACCCTGTAGAAAGGGGGAAAGTTCCAATTTTACCAGAAGCAGTTGGCGCGAGACCTTGGGAAGGAGAAGACACAGTCTTTGCCTTGGCTCCTCCAGCAGTAGGATCAGGGCTAGTCATGTCGGTGTTTTCTTCCTCTGTTTTACTGGGCGGTTCGGTTGTCCTTTTGTGTTCCCCTCCAGCAGTTTTCGAGGGCTTTAATCGAGGACATGGGTGAAACCCTTGGAACCTCATAGCAAGAAACTCAGTTTTCGAGGGCATGCTAATCGTCTCAGCTCGACCGCCGGAAGAGGCCTCCAAGAAAGTCAAATGCCTATTAACACGGCAGAGACTCATTAGGGACCCGGAAGGGGGCAGGGTCCTTCTTAGAAGTGCCAGTAGCAACAACGTCCTGCAGATTTGGATCCTAGTCGGTACCAGTAGCACTTTCCAAACAAACAGTAGCATCAATTCCTCGACTAAAAACAGGGGTGGAAGAGTCTCTACAAGGTCGATGTCGCGGCACTAAAGATCACCATCGAATAGACCTTGAAGAGCTTTGTCTAAGGAGATAACCTCCTCTACACCTGAAAACTTAGCAAAGGTAGCAATGGTTAACAAATTTACCGATTTTCAAGGCATTCGCCTAGTAAGAAAAAAGGGGGGGGGGACAAGAGAAAACAGAAGAAGGAGTATTATATCTTCTTTCTCGACGAAAAACTCTAGCATTTTCCCACGAGTCCTCCAAGTGGCGCTCATTCCACTAGAAACCAAGAAGCATTCGATCAAGTCCTCGCTATTAATGTGGATCATCTCTAGGGAATCAACCAGTTCCTTGTCAACACCAAAGAGTGTTGGAGTACGGTCCACATACGCCTTATTCCTTGGGTAAATAAGCACGACAAGGTTGTTGTTCACCCACAAGAACTTCTCTTGCCAGTTCTTCTTGGACTTTTTGTCGTAGATGACGGTAGGGACTACCCGCTGCGAGAGAGGGTCCGAGTGCCAGACTGGGTAGAGGCGTTGAAGAAATACCTGAATGCTGGAACAGTTGGTTGATGACCTAGAGCACGGTAAAGAAGCTCGAAGCCCACAATCTTGTTTATGGCTATTAGGGTCATCTCCCTCACAGAAAACCCATATTCACGGATGATCAGATTGAAGAAGTCTGTAGTGGGTGAACGGAGACCCGCTTCGAATAAGGTAATCGGAATGCCAACTTTTCCCTCGGGAGTACTATAAAGCGACGCATCGGGAAGAGGAATTTGAATCCCATGGTCAGGGACAAACCCAATTGAGAACATAAAAGATTCCAATTCTTTGGTAGTATGATACCTCACCAAAGAACGAGCGGTAGCCATGGAAGAATATGAAGAAAAGGTCGAAAGGGTTCTTTAGGGGTAAGAAGCCAAAGACAGGAAGTCAGAAAGTAAGGACGGAACACCAGGAGGAACAGAGCTTTAAATGCTACTAAAGGGGCAGCAAACCGTTTTCATGATGAAACTGCCAAAGAACAACGATTTTAACCTGTCAATTGCATAAGATATCAGTAGCAGCTCGCCACGTGTCTGTAAATAGAACAGAACGACTCTGCTATGTCATTAACACAGAAGCCTACTGGTCTAAGGGACTTGTTAATGATATTGTGTGTGGTCATCTTAAACTTAACGAAAAGCATAGACGGGATGTTATCAAGTTAGAACCTTGGCCGAGACCCAGTCTTGGCCTAAGTAATCCAACACCGGGATGACACTTCTCTTCCCTTCACAAGGAAAGAATATTTATTGTGATCCTCTCATTTACTCACGACCAATTAGGACGTGACAAAAAGCTTGGTGACACCCGAAACTGATGTCACCTAGCAGTTAGTTAGTGTTGGCATAATTCTCTTAGTAAGAGGAGACCAAGTCTCACACCCATTGGGAAAGGTCCACACGATCCATTATTAACATGTATAAAAGGATCTCTTCTGGCTCAAGGAAGGGATCCATCTTCCTCCTTTCAGAATTTACCCTAAACTCTCTCTAATAAAACTAACTTGATCATTAGAGCAACATCCCAGGAGAACACCCGATCGTCCTTTAATGATTCTTATATGTTATATTCTCAGGTAAACTTCTAGGACAGATCCATTATCTAGTTTCCAATCCCCTGCAGAACATGTCACAACAGCCTTCATGGACCATCTTGGTACATGATGCGCCATATTGATTCCTTTGTTTACCATGTTGATCCAAGTATGCCTAGAAGATGATAATGCTCAAGAATGTTCCAAAAGATGATGCATGGCGGATTTTGATTGGTTGACACCTATCATGGGCCTATAGGGCAATGGGCTTGGCCCATTAGTGTTTTAGGTATGATCCCTCAAGTATAAATAGGGATGTATACTAGGTTATATTGTATCTTTAATTCTAGAGTGATAAGCGAATCTTTGTGTAATTGTACTTGTAAGTATTGGATTAGGTGTCTAAGCCTATAACTGTTATTGGTATGTACGTAACCTGAGAGTAGCATGGTCCATTTGGGTCGCATATCACCAAGATAATTTGATAGGACGGACTTTTGAGAAGAGGTTATTTATGGTTTATTAATATACTATAAGTTCTAATATATTAATATGAAATCATATTATTTAATTAGTATTGATCAAGAATTAATTTGGAATTAATTTTGTGATCAAAAGAGACTAATTAAATATATGGGGATTGATTATGTAAATCATTCATTCTTATAATGTGGGCTTATGATCCTTAGTTCTTTATGTTGGGCTAAACCCATGTGGTGACCCATGGATGATCCATGGAGGTTTAAACACATGGAGCATAAGGCATATGGAAGGTTATGCACATTAGGGTTTGCATGGTGTAACCCTAATTAAGCTACACTATATAAGAAGTCCCTAGCTCATGAAATCAGCTAAACACATGTGTTCTTTGGAAGAGCTAGTCGAATATGAGTGCAAGACACCTTCTCTCAAGTTATCGTTTGTCTTAGGTGTGTTGTGATTCCATTTGAATCATTTATACTATTGATTCTAAGTTCTTAAAGGCCAAAACTACAAACTACAACAAAGATGTAATTCTATAAATCTTTTCTATGATGTTTATCATAGTTGTAGGCTTAAAGCTTTGGAAACAATATTGCATGTATAATTAGATAAAATATAGATCCTAAGCTTTTAGGGTTCCGTGTACACCATAGGAGTGTTAGAATGCTCAAAACTCATCAGTGGTATTAGAGCCTATGGTTCTTTTTCATCATACTTGATGCTACTTGTTTTCAAAGCTTGAAAAGCTCATTTTTCTGCTTTTTGGACAGTGGACTCACCGAGTTAACTGGGGGACTCGCCGAGTCCACTCACAAATCTGACCAACTCGCCGAGTCAGTTCATGCACTCGACGAGTTGGTGCTCCAGAATGCATAATTTCGAGGTTTTTGGCTAGAATTGGACTAGGATCGTTACCCTAAACTATTTTTGAACTTATAAACTTGTTTTTGATGCGGTAATGATCATGCTTATCCAATTTAAAAAATAATTGTCAAAGTTTCATGTTTTGTATTAGTTTATATGGTTAGGCTAATTACATGAAATTTGTTTGTTATGAACTATCTTAACTTATGAGTTTAATTTAGATCATAGGCAAATTGTTTGGTTTTCTTGTTAGAACTTTTGATCTAAATGATTTTGATGAAGTCCATAACTTGTCCTCAAGTTATGGAAAATGAAAAGTTTTTCTTTTAAGGAGATCATTAAAATCATAGGTTATGAACTTGAAGAGTCCTTTTCCCATAAATGGTTTTTCAAGAGTCTTTTCATTAAAAACTATATTAAACTCATAAGTTATGGATTCAAAAAGTTTTGAATAGTTCAAAACTTGCCCTCAAGTTGTGGAATTTGTAAATGCAAAGTCCTACTTTGAAACATTTAGTTTCTAACCCTAGAACTTTAAAAGTTTAGAATTCAACCCTTATACTATTATAATATTATAGGTTTAATATTTATATACGTGTATAAGAGTAAAGTCAGTCTTACCGTTAGTAGGCCTCATTCACTAAGCCCGTCTATAAGGGGGTATAAGGTTACTGCCTATAAAATGGCAGTTTAATGGTTGTCCACTCTCACGCACGGCTTCCTTATCTGGTGGAGGATCGTTTGCCGAACGGGTAGGATAGGACTCTAAATCTCCCTTCATTAAAAGAATAATGATAAATATTAAGTAACTAAACACTTATAAATTCCCAATCTTAGTTACTTAGGAGAATGTGAATATGGTGCTAACCCATGAAATTGCACTTTGCACCTTGTTAAGCCATTAATGGAGCATGTGTGGTTAAGGCACACTAATCTGGACTGACAATGCATAGGAAAGGGTAGCTTGATGTTAATCATATATCAATGGAGCGTGTGTGGTTAACCGGCACATTGATTAGGTGGTTGTAACATTCGGTGTACCAAGCTAATTTTCATGGTTATTCATACTTTGTTTGTGATCCTCGACATCCCAGTCATAAACTTGAAGGGCACAATTAAGATTTAAATATACCATTGAAAGTTTCAATGAATCTCAAAGGTTCTAGGAATTTCAATTCACTTAAAAGCTAAAATTCCTTTTCATTTTTCATGATGAAAATTAGAAAATCGTCATTTAGCTATCTTCAAATATTTTGCATTTCGGATTATGACATCCCTCCTCCAAATTGTAGAATATTGTGTTGGGTCCTAGCCTTAATATTTCATTTAGGTTTTATATTGAGGACTTAAATAAACTAACTTGAATTTCTCCCATTGTAGATATCTAGTTTAGACAACTATGGTCTTCCCAAATCTTTTGGAACAAGCTCTCCTCCTGAAGATGATGTTCCACGATTGGATCGTGGAAGTGGAAATCATACTTCACTTCCTCCTCATTCTCCAATTATTCTCCCTGACCCACAAGTTCGAAGAATTGAAAAGTTCAAGGTCACTCAAGACCTACTTGTAATGAAACATCAAGATGGAAGGCTTGTGTTTACTCACGTCTTGGAGATGAAGTCACATATTGACAGCCTGAGAGTATTAGGTTTCATTGTGTCGAGAAAGTTGGTTGTTGACTAGGTTCTTTAGTCACTTTCCGAGTCATATAGTGAGTTCATTAAGCACTATTATGTGACAGACCACGCCATGACCCTTATTGATCTTACCTATTTGCTTGTTGCTTCTAAATCAATAATGATTAGGCGCACTAGAAAAGGAAATTTGATTGGAAGATCTACTTCTCAAACTTCCATGGGCATTGACAATTGTAACATTGGAAGTCTAGAAAAGATTTCTCTTCCCAATGGAAAGGGGTCGACCATAGTGAACCCGGTTGACCAAATGGTAAAGAGAAAGGCTAAGTTTTAAATTGTCTCATGTGTCAATACAAAAAAAGCCATTTTTTTCTACTACCATTTGAAGGGACATTAGAACCGAAGCTGCCCTGACTACCTGGAAGATCTAACAGAAATGAGACTCAAAAAGTTTGACTCTGCTTCAGGTAAGTCTATTATCTAACTCTATTAAGTTCCTAATTGTTGATTCTTAATACATGATACAAGGTTGCATTTTGATGTTTTGTAGGATCATGCAAAAGGAAGGAAGCTTAAAAATAAGAGTATGTTGAATTTGATCGCGAAGATGGATTTCAATCGCATGCTTCGAAGATCGGATTTTTGAGCTACTGCTTAGGAGTTATGATAGATTGCTAGGAAATATGTAATAACATAGTTTTCATTTGTAATTGCATTATAAGGAAAAGTACTTTCCGCATTTTATAAATAAATAAAATCTTGTTTTTTTATTTTATATCTCCTTACAAGGGCATTTGTGAAAATTGATGTTTGCAATATGAATTTGATTCTTTCGTTTGTGGTAGTGTCGAGAATTTTTCAAATAAGGCAAGATTCTCATCACCCAAGTTTCAAATGGACAAAAACTTGAAATCATACAAGTTGTATAGTATGATGAATGAGAATTTTCATCTTTGGCAAATTAAGACTACTTCCTTGATCACATGTATATGTGAGTCAAGTGAAGGACCAAGGGATTGAGTACACATTCTTGTGCAATTGTCAAGGTCCACCACAAAGATCGATAAGACTATTCGTCATGATTTACTGAAAGTAAGTAAATATTATGCTGACAAGTTTAAGTATAATTCTAAAACATTGGAAAAGTTTCAATGTAAGGCAGAACGAATGAGAAGAATCAAATTAGGTAGAAAGATAAAAGTTTCTCCAATCTGAATAGATAGGAGAGTACTTTAGTATCTTGTTTTATGATCATCTTATGGAAAACCGTATCACAATTGATCCTCTAAGGATATCTTAGTGCATTTGT